AGCGGCCACTGCACTCCAGTGTGGGCGACAGAGTGAGACTCCAACTCAAAAAAAAAATAAAAATAAAAATACAGGCTAAATCTCTGTCCTGAAGTTGACGTACCAGTTGTGACAGCCTCGTGGTCATTGTAACTGTTTAAGAACGAGGCTTGGAGGGTCCCAAGAAAGGAGCTATTGTCTCTCCCACCCCTTCCCATGAAATAACACACCCCTGGCCTGTATCTGGCTTTCAACTGTCCCTCTTGTCTCAGGTAGCAGTTCCCCGAGTTAGGGAGTTGAGACGAAGGAGTGGATGCTCTTGCCCTAGCACCTTCCAAGGCCATCACTGCTACTGAAGAGGCTCAGGGGTAGCAAAGAATACCTGAGTGAGCTCCAAATCAACGCCTTCCCATCTACTGCTGCCGGAATGGCACGGGGTTGCCAGAACATGGGCATCTCCTGAGTGCCAACACTCTCATCGTCAACTCTAGGAGCAAAGATTTTTCTTATAATCGAACAGGAATAGACACCAGACACCAGGAGGACACCAGGAGGGACTTGCCCAGGACGGAGAATGGGTCCTCCGAGCCTTGCCCTGGGCAGTTCCTTGGAACAGAGGCCTTGGGGGCCAGTTTGGAATGCTAGTAGGAAGGATGATTCTGAAATCCGCCTCCCTCCCCTAACCTCATCCTCCGTGTCCGGGAGGACCCTCCTCATCCACAAGTCCCAGAGCTCAGAGAGGCCCAGGACTCCCGGGAGTTTCTGTGGGAAAGAAAAGCAAACCACCCACCCTGCCGCCTTCGCGTCTCTCTTCCAGTCCTCTCCCTGGAGCTGGCTTGTGGGGAACAGCAGCTCCCAGGAGCCACCAGACACGCAGACATTAGGGAGCCGAAGCTCGGGGGGCGGGCGGGGGGGGGCGACCTGCAGACTGTCCCATCGCAGACCCGGACGCTCCAGCTCCAGCGTCTGAGTTTTTTCCCATCTGCAGCCCGGCTGTGTGAAAATGTCAAGGCTTTGGGGGCGGACGGAAAGTGGGTTCCAACCCTCTTTTTCTGACCTGGGGCAAGATTCCGTCCCCCACCCCCCTCGAGCCTGGGTCTTCTTGTCCGTAAAGGGAGTGTGATAATAGCAGGCGATCGCGAGGTTTCTATGAAACATTGGAAGCAAAGCGCCTAGGACGCAGCAGACACTGCCCGCCCGGGGCGGCTCCGGGATTTCCGTCTAGGAGGGACTCCGAGGCGCAGGCCAGAGGACGGGGCGGGCTGGGGCTCATCTTAGAAGCGGGCGAGGGGGTTGACGGGGCGCTGCCTTGCCTGGCGCGCACGCTGTTGGGGGAAGGGCCGTCTGGAGCAGCGCTGGCGGAGATTAACGCTGGGAGGGTGGGAGGCGAGAGCCCCCATTCCCCTGCTGACCCCCTCCCCTCCCGTCCGGCGCGGGACCCCGAGGGGGGAGAGGCCGCCGCCCGCGCTCGCAGACGCGCGCTGTACTCACG